TTTTATAAATTTTAAACTATGATGCCGCTATGCACTCTTTCTAAATCTTTCAAAGTAACATTAATTTGTTGCACAATCAAGGAGTCATCAGAAACAATGCTGAAAATATTTAGTTTTAAATAATTTGAACGCCATATTTTGCTGGAGAACCTGAAAGTTTCACCAATTTTTAGCCAATAAAGTCGCATAAATTAACGAACAATTAATTGTATTAGAGCTAGAGTAGTCAAACCGTTGCTGCAGCATAAATTAAAGAACAATTTGAATTCCTAGACTGGTCAAGTTTCAAAGGATTTATTATACCTCTTGATGAGCATTGAATATGTGCAGGCCAGGTCTTTTGTTTGCAAACGACAAAGCACCCTCAGATGCTAGGCAGTTGTACCTTTTTGCACCAGTTTAGGGTATGAGAATAATTATTGGGTGAGAGTCGTGTGACACATTATTATTAGAGTTAATTACCACGACACTTAATAAAATTTATCAGACAATTATAAATAATTTAATTATTTTTTGAATAAAAAAATTTTATGTGATAATTTTGATTCAAACAAATCCTTAAAATTTTAAAAAAGACGAAATTATCTTTTAATATTTAATTTATTTTTATTATAAAATATCAGAACTCATAAAAAATCAAAATTACCCTTATATATATACATTATATACTACCCTTATATCTATAGATATATGGAAGAGCAGCGGGGAAGAGACTAGAGAGAGCACCAGCCAAAAGGTGTGATGGGTTGAACCAAAATACACCACCGCAACCATGAAGACCTGAACCGACTTTCTAAAGATTAAAAAATGTTTCAGTGTCTCAATTAACAATATTTTACACCAGATAATTATATTATTTATTGATTATAAAAATATCCTTTTAAAATAGTCCATATTGTAAAGGAAATAAAAATTTTGAAGGCCATCTCTCCATGTACTAACTTTTTCATTTTGTTTTTGTTTTATTTATTTTTTTAATAGATAAAGTCTACTTGTGAATTAATTAATTTGTTTGAAAATATAGTTTAGGGTCTATTTGGTACGCGTTTTATTTTTGACATTTAGTTTTAATTCAAAGCAAAATAAGTGTTTTGTAATATAGTAGTCTGAATAGTAATCGAAAACATGTTTGGTAACGTTCATTTGTTGCAAAATTTTTGAAAGCAAAAATATGAAAACATATTTGATATAAAAGATGTTGCAAGTTTGAAAAATATAATGGTTATTTAAAAATGTCATTCAAAAATTTTTCAAAAAAAATATATTACTATTCATCATTACACTATCAAATGCTAGTGTGGAAACATATAAAAATATCAAATTGGCGTTTCGATTTTTGCCCACTATTCACGAAATATTTTAACACTGTGTAAAACAAAATAATTTTTACCAAATGTATGTTTACAAAAATAAAAATAAAAATAAAATGCATACCCCTTATTATATACTCCCTCTGTTTCAAAGAAAATGTCATTTTTTAAAAATTGTGACTTTCGCAAGTTGAATTATCAAGATTTTTCAAAAAAGACACTATATTTTTAAGAGGAAAGGAGTACTATTCCTAACTTCTGAAATTTGAAATTAGAGTTCCTGTTTTTCCGCTGATGTTAGTCGTAGGGGATTTCTTTGACCCAATTTCACGTGCTTGAATAGTCCAAATTACGTATATTCCATTTTGTTCAAACTAAGAAGAAACATTAAATTAATGCACACCATGTAATTTTGTCCGTCTACAATGCAACAAGCGTGCAATTTTTTCTACTTTAAAGTAATGTGGGCTCATTTTTAAGAATCTAGAAGAGGGATTATTAACTGTTATATAAATAGAAATAGATGACTTTTATCAGCTCTAATATTAGACTGAATAATATATGTACTACACAAACAAATATATGTTTGTTGACTATATATATCAATTTTTTTTAATCTTTTTTTTAAAACATGACTAGAGTAGTATGATTCAAAAGTAAGACCTTAATCGTACGTGAAATATATCAATTTGGTCATTATCTTAATTGCTGTAGAAATTAATTCTTCTAGAGGGCTAATTTGTTCAAAACCATGATTTGATTGAGAGACTTTTAAGTATGCTGATGACAGAGATTATTGTGATGAAAGCCATATTTCCCTACAGTTTTGAAACTTTGTATGGTGCTTGGATAATTATTGGCCTGGTGGTCCTAATTGGCATTTATGGTGTACCCATTTCATAAGCTGTTTGGTCCCATTTTCACATGGCTACAAAGATATATACATACATACATATATATATATATATATATATAGCACACATATTCCCTCTAGAAGTTTCTTCAGTTAAGAGAAAATGTATTTTCTTCGTCTTTAAAATTTGATGGTGCACATATATTCAGGCAACTTCTACTATATAAATACTTGCCTTTGGGAACAATGGTTAGCTAAAAGAAGGGGCACCCTTTAACCTACTTTCACAAAAATAAGAGTTTTGTATACATACATACATACATATATATATATATATATAGATGAGTCAGGACATCCAAGCCAAAAAAAAAAAACAATATAGGTTTATTTATCAAAGTAAAATAATAAACAGCATTAATAATATATGACGTAACACATTTAATTAGTAGCCGTGAATTTCACTGTATAAATAGAGAGAGAGAGTGTGAAATGTGGATATTATATATATATAATACTTTCACAAAAATAAGAGTCATACGTGTATATATACATGTATGAGTGTTGATATACAGGCTGGTTATATAAATTTACTTGTTAAAGTGGAACCATAAAAGTCATTGATGATGTGATGTAATAGACTTAACTAGTAACCACACATATATATATATCAATCTATATATATTAAAAACTCCAAATTTGGCTTAAAAAATCTTTTTTTCTTCTACTTTTCCTGAGATAAATCGAAAAATTTCTCTAATTTTAGCTTTCAATCTTGTTTAGTGTATACGGAATTGATTATGTCACCACATACTTAATTTAATGGTAAAGACTTTCATCTCACTCTTGAAATTTCAATTTTTTGTAAAACCATTATGGGAAACTTGATTTTGAAAAACTACCATATTTAAAATATGCATCTTTTGAGTCTTTGACTACGAGGAGTTAGTTTTACAACTTTCAAATAATCGGTTCTACATTGTATTGTATTGTATTGCATCAAACAATTGTGATAGTATGTACGTAGATGTTATCAAATAATTGTAATCGTATTTACATATAAAGCATCTATTTTTGTGAGATCCGTGTTCTCCAACGTACACCATGAAGAATCGGACCTACTGACGAAACAAAACATTAATCTAAGGCAATAACAAATATGAAAATAACCTATTTATTAAAGTGAAACAATAAAGAATATTGATGGTCTAAAGTAATATATATATATATATATATATATATATATATATATATATATAACACTCAAGTTTGACTTAAAAAATCATTTTTTTTTTATTCTACTTTTTCTAAGATAAATCGAAAAGTTTCTCTAATTTTAACTTTCAAACTTATTTCGTACATGAAATTGATTATGTAAGAATATTTGTCTTGGAAAAATCAAAAAGTTTCTCTAATTTTAGCTTTTAAACTTATTTCGTACCTGAAATTGATTATGTGAAGAATATTAGTCATCTCATAATTAATTTAATAGTAAGACTCTCATCTCACTGAATAGAGGTTGAAATTTCAATTCCTCGTAAAACCATTATAGAAAACATGATTTTGGAAAACAATCATATCTAAAATATAAATCTTTGACTTGGGATTAGTTTTATCGCTTTTAAAGAGTTGGAATCTCATGCGATAATAACATTGTGTTCGTTTACACGTGTAAAACATTCACTTGTGCAGCAATCACAGCTATTAATTCTCTCACATACACCACAAAAAATTCACGATCGAAACAAAGCATTAATCTCAGGTAATAAATATTAAGCATGAAAATCCAAGAGCATTTAATCTTACCATAAAGATGACAATGAAACTATGGAATCGACCAGTCAACATTAGTCATCTTTTTAGACTCTAATATTAAAGCAACGTACCTGTTGTCTACGGACAGTGGGTCCCACTGATCGAATCTGAGCCGAGCAAACTCAATTATTGAGACAGATAATGTACTTTTAATTGATATTTTAGCAAAGGTTGTTAAAAAAAAAAAAAAAAAAACGAAAAAGATAAAACAACACGCAATATTAATGATTTTGCCTGTAACATATGCTTTTATTGAAACTGCATCTTTTTCACATGTCTCTTGTGGCATATTCACATTACTTTTTTAATAATAATATTATTATTATTATCATTTTTTATGTTGCATATCAGATTGAATGAATTATATACAAGGTGGTCTCATTCTTTTTGCCTAAGATCTTGGTAGACGGCTAATGTCAATGTAAATCTAGTTCGCAAATTAGAGGAAGGAGAATTCCAACACGAGTACATTCACTTAGAAAATTTGATGTTTTATTAACTAAGTTAATGTCTTAATTCAGATGGTATGATCTCTAATTTTTAAGAAAAAGATTGAACATTTGAAAAAAATACTTTAATACACTCTTAGTATATTAATGAGATAGTATCAAGTGCTAATACGTAGTGAGCGATAAGACTACGATAATAAATACATTTTTATTTACGTAACGAGATGTGGAATCACTCGTGCATGGAGATTTTCTCGGTCCTAATAAGCATACAACTTTGTTACAAGAAGTGAAGCTGATTAATTTCCATACAATTTTTCTTCGCATGCATGAACCAATCCTTATATATGTTTTATCAACGTGCACAAACTTACATGGCTCAAGTCCATGGAAAAAGGGAAACAAAAGAGCTTTATATGAATGCTTAAATTACCAAACGCTTATTGATAAGTAATGGTACAAATTCCCAAATTGAAACATTATTATTGCAAACCATATCACATAATAATCTTTAGAATAAAGCACACTTCACAACCAACAATTATTCAAACACCAATTAACAATCTTAAATCCATATATATGACTATATGAGCAGTATACTTAAAAAATTCTCTTTGTAATTTTGTACATTCACAATTCAATTGTGAGCTATATATATATAACAAAAATATATAGCCTAAATTACATAAACCATGCAATATTTCTAGTTCTTGCAAGCCCTTAATCAAAAAGGCCTTTTGAGATCTTTGAAATCCATAGAATCAATACACTCCAATCTATCTCTATGCAGATTCAACATCTTCAACAACTCAGTTGCTTTCTCTTTGATCCTCTCACCACAACCCACCTGCAACAGCAACAACAGCTTCTGAAAGGCACCAACTTGAAGAGCCTCAACAAGAACATCATGATCAATATCACCACCTCCTCCTTCCCTCCTCTTCTCATTCTTGCTCAGCTTCCACAGTGCACAAACCGCGAAATCGGTGGCCAAATCCGAAACTCGAAGCAACTTCTTCACCAACACAGGTATGGTCAGAGCATGATGATATGCCTGTTCTCTTCCTTCTGCACAGCTACAAAGTCCATCCAACACACCCAACGCCTTCTCGCAAACGCTCCGATCCGATTCCACCAGCATTTCTAGCAACAAAGACACCAGACCCATCTCCACAAAACTCGCAATGACTCTCTCATTTGCAAGATACGATGATGAGGAAACCATGTAGTAAATAACCATCAATGAAGCTTTTGTTGTAGTTGGACAAATGGGCTCTTTCACAAGCTTGAAAACTGCTTCAATTGCTCCTTCAATCTCCACCAAATCATCCACCGTTTGTTCGTCCAATGAAAGAACTTGCTTTAGCATCAAGACCGCGTTCCTTCGTCCAGACAAGCCTCCACATTTTAGTAACCATACAATGGAATGCAAAGATGTTGTTGATGCTAGATGAGACTTGGCCTCTCCATCAAGAGGCTCCAACAATGTCAATGTTGACAAAATCTCCTCGAGCAACACGGAGTTAGTCTCGAAAGATTCCTTTGAAAAGCCCTCGAAAATGGCTGACAGGACGCCGCTCGTCCCGTTGGCCACAATGCACCTCTTGTTACGCTCGCTCTCTTTCACCAAGGCCTTAATGCTGCTCACCACTTCGCGGCAACCCCTTTCGTCCCGCCATTTCTGAGCTGTGGTGGCTTTCGAGAGCATTTCCGATACCTGGAAAGACGAAACCGGGATTCTTGGCGTTGGGATTCTCTCAATGCCATAAGAACTGTTTTCTACACACCAGTCTTGGATCATCGTGCGTATTGTGTGGTTTGGAATCGGCTCGAGTGTCCTCAGTGCCTGGTTGGTGATAGGACAAGTATGGTTTCCGGATTCGATCCATCGCTCTATGCTCTCTCGGTCGTATGTTATGCCCGTGGACAGAGTGACAGGATCCTTCATCAAGTCTAGAGAAATCGGACACCGGAACTGGTTCGGGATGGTCAGCTCCATACCGGAGTTTTCGTCCGGTTGCTGCTTCTTCCCGGCGTGGCGTGCCGCCCTACGCCGCCTCCATGAAGAAATCATTGATGGGTTGTTTGTAGAATGAATGAATATCAAAGTTGTAGATTAATTTAGAGAGAGACAGAAGTAGATGTTTTGCTTGGGATGTGTTTTTGGTTTGTGAAGCTATATTAAGAATGAGAGTCGAGTAGGTTATATATAAACAAATGGTATTTTGTCTTTGTTACGCGGTTCAAACGTTCAAAACTTGGGACAATATCAAAATTGTGAAACTAAAGAAACGTTCAAGATAGAGAGAGAGAGAGAGAGGGTGTGTGTGTGTTTTTTTTTTTGGTTTGAGAGAGAGATTTGAATGTTGACCGTTGAAAGTTTGAAATGGTAAACCACACCGTCAGATGGGCATAAAGGGTGATTGTTATATTAAGTAAGACTGATTGAGATTGAAATTGAAATTGAATCAATCAAATATTGGGTGCAAAGAAAATAGTACTTAATAAATCAAAAATCAAAGGTTTTGACGAAAAGCCCGTCAACGGGCGGTGGGACTCAGCCTAGAGAGAGAAAGATATTGTATAGATAGAGAGAGAAATAAGTAATTTTGATTTTAATTTGTTACATGGGCTCATTACGCGCACCATACGCGCAGGGCTTGAATTTGGGCGTGGTCAGTCATATTAATTCAATGCCATGTTTAACGGGTAATATGATCAAATATGTACTCTCATTTGACACACAATCATGTGCTCGTCTGTGTTACGCGGTCATGCACGGTTTTTGAAGATTTCAACAACTCAAAATGTACCCGAAATAGGAGTTTTGTTCATAAACTTGAATGGACGTAATATCAAAATGTATTTATGGTTATAAAGAAGGAAACCTCTCCTGTTCTTGTTCTTGTTTCCACCGGCTTTGATGTGTGGCCCAAATTACGCCACGTCGGTTAAAGCAAATTGGTGCCAAATAAGTTACCATCCGCCTTTACTTTTATACGTTGTGGTATATATGTTAGTGTATATATATATATTATATTATGTATATTTAGAGGAATTTATTGAAATATCCTTGACATTCAAAAATCCCCCGAATTATCCTTCATTTTTCTAGGTCGGAAAGAGAAGTACTTTCAAAAGGCGAAAAAGGCGATTGAGGGGCAATTGAGGAGGACTTAGAAGAAGATCATGAGAAGAGGTCGCCGGAATTAGGTTTTCGGAAGTGGAGTGGAATTGAGGCAATTAGGTTTTCGGAAGTGGATGTGGAAGAAGGTGTTCTCAGAAGTGGAATGGAGTAGAGGCGATTAGGTTTTCGGAAATGGAGGTGGAAGAAGGTCAAGATCGAACTTAGGTTTTCGGAAGTGGAGGTGCAAGTGGAAGAAGGTCGCAAGAAGAGATTGTTATTGTTATTGTTATAGTTGTCGGACTGTTGTGATAGTGGTCGGAGTTAGGTTTGTGGAGCAGAAGGTTTTCGGAAACGCAGAGGTTTTAATTTCTTTGAATTAACTATATTAAATTGTAATGACCCGGATTTTTCGGATAAATTTTTTTTCGTTGTCTTTTCTCTTCTGAGTTTGGTTTCTTGTCGATTAGTGTCGTCTCGAGTGCTCTGGAGTGATTTCCGAGACTCTTTTCTGTGGATTGATAACTTACTTTGAGGACCGAGTCAGTTCCGCACTTTTCGTTTTTCGACACTATTCACTTTTTATCTTTTTCCCTATTTCGTCTTTTCCTCGTTTGTCACTCTGTTTGCGTAACCACACTTTTTGTGTTCGGAGTTGGTTTCTAACTTCGTGTATCTTCATTCTCAATGATTTCTATGAGATACGTATCTTTACTTTCGTGATAAAGTACTCTGGTTGCTCCCGGTGTCCATAGGGGCATCAATGCAAAGTTCTTTGGAAACTTTTTCTTTTCTTGGGGTATTTTTCATAAATATCTTTTGAAGATATTTTATTTCAGGGGTATCTAAGAAAATATCTTTTGGAAGATATTTTCATCCTGTGTCAGTTTCGCAGTTTTCACTTTTTGGAGGGACCATTGTGCAATTAATGAAAGTTATTGCTCAATGCCTTGTTTTGAGCCTGGATCCTCGCACGGGATTCATTTTCACATTTTGTCGAGTCGTGGACTCTTAGAATTTCCTCCTGGACGATGTTTTCCAGTTTCAGGGTTTCTGGCCCAAGTTTGCGGCAAACTTGTTTTGGGCATAACTTTCTGTTCGGGACTCGGTTTTCGACGCCGTTTTTTCCGTTGTTCATATTTTCTCATTTGAAATCTTTTTCATTCACAAAGTTTTGCCGTTTGAGCGCGTCTGCTCAGATTTCACTTTTTCGGACCCGGCGGGGCCCGTTCGGGGCAATTTTTGAGTTTTTCTATAAATAGGAGGTCTTAGAAAGAAAAATCAGATTTTTCTCTCTCTCTCTCCTCTCTCATGGCGGGTTGAAGCTCCATCCATGGCTGCCATCTTCTCTCTCCTCTTTTGGACTTCTTCCCTTCATTAAAAAGTGGTGATGCCTTTGTGTTTATTGTTCCCCTCGGCGAGGCCTTCGATTCCAACCGATTGGAATCTTGTTTTGGCCGTTTCTTGAGTTCGGGTTTGAAGTCAAGTTGTGTTTTTGATGGGGCTTCCTTGGGATTCATGTTCGTGGTGTTGTCCCCGACAAAACTTAGGAGTTTCGTCAGATTCAGAGCCGATTTATTTTGGTGGGGATTTGAGATTTCATCTCAAATGGAGGTAGGGAATGTTTTAGGCTTTTGTGTGTGTTGTATTGAGTGTTTAGCATGATTATACAACTTATATATGTGCCTTGTATCAAATCTAGAAAGTTAGTAATTTTTAATTCTTTGCATAAGATTTAAAATTCATGATGATATATAACGTTGTTTTGTGGCATGGTAGAAAATCTTGTTTTAATATGTTGGTTAACATATATTAAAATTGGATTAATTAAATAAGAATTGCTCTTTTTAATTAATATTTATCTTTTGTGAAAGATTTAAATTCATTGCCATACCTTGCATGGAATTGAGTTGTATTATGCTTCTAAATTAAGTTTTGGCATGTGTGTTAACATACTTTAATTTGAGAGCATTTGGTTGAGTTTGGAAATCTAGAGACTTTAATTAAGGGTATTAATTAAAATCTATTTTGGTGGTTTTATGGGCCTAATTAAGCTTGTGTGTGAACATATGTAATGACCATGATATGTCTATTAACATATATTAAATTGGGGCCAATTGGAAATAATTTGAAATCTAGAGAGTTTAATTATTTTAATGTAATTAAATTCTATCTTGTGTATCTATGGATCTAATCATGTTTTAGAAGTTATTTCTATTTTAAGAGCATGGATTTAGACTTGTGAAGTATTCACTTGATTGTGTTATATGCATTGTAGGGCATTGTTGTTAAATTTATATTCATGAGAGTATGTTTCTATATGAATATATTGTTGGCTTGTGATTTCATATCATTATGGATATGAAATGCTTATTATACACAATTGAGAGTTATATTGCTAACTTGTTACTATGTAATAGTAATATGTATAAGTTATGAACTTATTTAGCTTATTTTGGAATCTTAAAACATTGTTGAGTTGAGATGGCTAGGGTTTGGCTCTAGTATGGGGACGTGAGTCCTCTAAGTCATTGAGATAGTGCGCACTTAGGGTGATCTTCCCTTCGGGTTAGTGCCCGGAATAACCACTGAGGTCTCGGCAGAATTCCGAGCGTGATATCCAAGTCTTCCACTGTTTGTTTTCGCATTCAATTCCAAGTTGACAATCATGCTTACCTTGTTAACTTGTGGTTTTGGTTATTGGCGATTTTGATGTTGTTAAGTACATCCATACTAAATTGATATATTTAGTTGATTTCACACTTTTAGATTTCTAGTTGATAACCTAGAGAATCTATGTCTTGATGTATGGTATTAGATATTCTAATTATGCTAAATTGTTATATTTAGTTGATATTGCATTTTAGATTTCTAGTTAATAACCTAGAGAATCTATGTCTTGATGTGTGGTATTAGATATTCTAATTATGCTAAATAGTTATATTTAGTTGATGTTGCATTTTAGACTTCAAGTTGATAACCATGAGAATCTATATGTTGTTGCTTGTGTAAGCATGCTCCTATATTGTTGCTTTGTGTAAGCATGCTCCTATGTTGTTGCTTTGTATAAGCAGAAACCTATATTGCTAAAATTGCATGAATGAGGTTATTGATGCTAGAAATGATCTTAGGTAGCTAGGATGCTCCTTGAGTCTCACCTTTGACATAAACGTTAGGTGGAATTAACCACAATGATTAAATCACGCAAACTTGTAAAGCGTAGGTCGATGCATGCTCATTTCCTACGAGTAACTTCATGTTACTCACCCTTACGATACTGGGGCATATTTCAGGTACAAAAATCAAAGTTGAGGTCTTCATTATGCTTAGATGGTTTGTGGACTTGGAGACTTCCATTTTTGGTGAAGGTTGGGTTGGAATGCCAATTGTAGTCTTATATGTCAATATGTGTACATTTGATTCCATATATGTAATGTGTACATGAGTACACTCTTTACAATATATTTGACATGTATGAGATGAGGCCAGAGGCCAATGACTTGTAATTTGTATCCTATATAATTTTTGACTTCATGGAGTATTATGAAAGTGTTGAAGAATATTGAGTTTTTGCTTCACCATGTTTGCATTGGGTGTGGGAATTCCATTTTGATTCTTCCATTAGTATTCATTAATCATGTATGAAGTATGGCCAAGGGCCAAATGGCATTTTGAAACCATCTCATGATTTTAAATTCCAAGTTTTCGTTTCAAACTTTATTTTTGGCATTTTGGCCGTTGGGGGGGTCATATTTTGCATCGGCCATATTTTTGGGCCATGGACCATTGTAGCACATCTTATTAGGTAAGTTACGTTTGCATGCATGGTCGTTTCCGGGCAAAGCTTCTTCTTTGGTGAAATGAACCTCCTACGGACTCATTTTACACTTTTGTTGCATTTTCTGACCTAAGGGTATTTTGGGAATTTTCTTTAGGAAATAAATTCCGTTCTTCACATGGTTGAATAGAAAATATGATTTTAGGGGGGGTTTCTTTTTTGTTTTTTTCCAGAAAATTCTATCTTGGCATCTGAAATCACATCCGAAGTTCAGCCCTCAGTTTTTAAATTTAGCAGCTTTTTAAACCCTCTGGACTAGTTTTCTTGGGAGGGCATTTTGGGCATTTCACATTGCGTATTTTTCAATTTTCCTCTTTAGTTATGTAGAAAACTCGATTTTGAGGAGGATTTCTTCTTTGAGTTTTTCCAGAAAATGTCATCTAGGGCCTCAAATTTCCATTTTTCCCGGAAAAACCCCTGCTGCCATTATTTTTGGGTCGCACCCTT